GAGCTCTACAACTAGCTCAAAAGCTTCAAACGTTGAAGTTTTTCTCCTGATCAGTATGGTGCTACAATAACAGGCCAGAGAAGATCACCCTATGGTATGAAGGCAGTTACGTTTGCTGGAAACTTCAGTCAAAAAAGAGTTCACTTAAGAAGCTTGCTGGTCCTTTTCAGAGCAATCGGACGTCGAACTACCTTGCCAACAAATATATTACAACCTAATAAAGTTGAAAAAAATAGCCCTTGAGGCTCATAAAAGTCTTAACTATGCCAAAAGTCGCAAGAAGTTGAATTGGAAGGAAAACTTCAAATGCATCCAATGAATACAATTTAAGGCGTCAAGAAAATTACACTGTAGATTAATCGAGATTACAGAAGCATCAAAATTGATAAATAAAGAGTATATTACGTGAGAGATCAGCTTTTCACTGTAACCCTCATAGTAATCTCTTGAATATTTCTGATTTTTAAGTAGGTAAAATATGTATTTGTACTTTTGTGGCGATAAAAAATGTAGAGATTAGGCTGCAGGACTTTGTTGCTACGGAAATAAAGTTGTAAGATAAAAGAAAAAAATTTATGTGATTCTATATTTTTTGTGAGTTTTAAGTCTTTACAGTTTTAAAAAATAGCCCAGTTCATAGATTATACGAGAAAAACTGAAAATTAACCGCATGTTAGGGCCAACAAGTATTTTATGGCATAAGAAATACACCGTACTTTTCAGCATAATCATATTTTTTCCACTTTTTACAACTTTTTACTTGATCGAATAAACTGTATGGATTCCAAAAAAACATGTTTTTAATAAGAAGAGTTTTGTTCTAAGAAGTGTCAAAGATAGATATAAAATTTTTAACTGAAAACGTTTTACATTACATGTCAACACACTACGATGCTCCACTTAGTGAGTCTCGGGTGAAGCTGGGGGAACCGCTAGTGGATTATAAAGATTAGTCACAACCACGCACACAATTCAATTCATGCACTCCTATCGAAAAATATTTTATGCAACAACTGTGCAAGATGAAATAAGTGCAAGTGTAATTTTCTTATAAAGTCACACATCGGTGTTAACCGTTGGATTTGGATACTAGTTATTTTTAATATACAATTTACGCTCTTAAATTGTAATTGAAAAAAAACATTTGACTCCTGGTTTGTACAGTTTTAAGATGCTTCAATTCAACTGACAATTAATGCGCTAGTACTAGACTACAAAGACTACTCAACAAATTAGGTATAGAAAGCTGACAAACATTTCTTGGACCGTTTAGTTTCATACAGTTTCTGGCAAAAGTTGCTTAGAAAGATGGTGTTCCCAATAATAACTCTTACATTAAGATTAGCCCTTTGGTCAAAATTGTTTAGTATTACATGATACATTGACCTTCAAAGAATGTGAGTATAATATTTTTATTTAAAGTTTTAAGGATGCCGATTTTGAAAATCAACAGTGTGAAAAATCATTTTGCATTACTACGCTGAACAACGTTTGTTATGCTGTTCTTTTCATAATTGTGTAATATAAGTAAAAAGTTCATCATTTTATATGTCAAACTAAGCTAAACTGGTTAATTTAAATCAAAAATATAAATAAATAATGCTTTTCGTCGGATTTCTGCTAGTAAGTAAATTTCCTCCTAATTTTTCTAAAAATAAGCATTTAAAAAAAGTATTTTAACACAAGCGATACTTATTGAAATGAAATTCTAAGCACACGGTCAACTGTGAAGTCTCCAGAAAATTGGCCCTTTTTTCGACACTTATACTATCAGAAACATCCTGTCGTGCAGCGTGGCACCATGCTTTTTTAACAAACTGCCTTACAAAATTGTTTTCTTTGATCGTTTGTCTTCTATTTTAGGCGCACATCTTGTACAAATAAATGTATTAGGTAACATTGAAAAAAAATCTTGTTTTCGAAATTTTATTACACGATTTTTACTGTCGCACGTTTTTGTTGTAAGTATAGCATTACTTTCTGGAAGTCTATACAAGGAATCGACTATTGACAAGAATTGTAATAACTAGAAGTACTTTGAGAAATATTTGGAAAATTCTTATGCTTGATTCATTGAAAAGTCTTTGGATCCCAGCAAGTTTAAATGTAACTTAAAAATAGACATTGTGCTGTTGATATGATACCTTCTTAGAGCCTTTTTAAGTTTCTGACGTACCGAAAGATAACCTGAACTAATGATCTAAAGTTTTTGGATGATAGGAATCTTGTGACTAAATTGGATAACTGTGAAAAAAATTACGTGGTAAATCTGATATGAATAGAATGTACGTGACAATAAAAGTAAAAGTTTTACACATAAATAATAAAAATGTTGATAAGTATAGTATTGCAATAGTATACCGTACAACTTTGATTCATAATTTTTTTCAAAGTGAAATCAGTACCAAAGTAAATAGGTTCTTACAACACATATAATTTGGATAAAAGTCCTTTTATAAATATGATCCAGTATGCTTCACCATCCTTAATAAAGTGCATTTGCTCATTTACAGTGTTAGGAATACTGAAGCTTCATAAAAAACAATGCTTAGCCTACATAGCAATATTTTACAAATGTGCACAATCGTGGTTTCGTGACTTTAGTACACTATACAAAATTGTGATTCATTTATATCACTGATATATTTCCTGCAGAACGTGTAACTTCATGATCACGATGGCAACATGTAAAAATACTTTTTGACCAAAAATTGTTGGCATATTCTTATAAGAGCACACAAGTTAGTAAAAAAATTAATGTAGTAAACATAATTCGTTATAAGATGAACACCATGCAATAGAATAAATTTTTAACAGTAAGCAGCATGCACAAAAGATTGTAAGTTAGTTAGAAACCATTAGTAAAACAATCCACTGTAACAGTCCACACAATACACCATTATTTTTCTATAATACTGATCCAAGAGTGTTAAACTCTCGATTTGGCAGGTATGTAATCGTTTTGAATGGCATAAAAATTATGAACGGCTCAGGATGAATGCTTTTTTAGTAAAAAAGCATAACATTTTATAATATTAGTATTTTAAGCTAGTTAATCATAATAGTTCTTATTAATTAGCCTGTTACAAAAAAATCAATAAACTTTTTTTTCACTAAGTATGGTTTCATGTGTTTGTTGGATCAAGAAAAAAATACTTTGTACAATATTCTTTCCTAAAACTAATAAATACTATCCGAAAAATGTTTAGACTTAGGAATTTGAACAAACATACCTGTTTTCTGAGTTTTGTGAGACTTAGCACCAACACATAACTTCAAGAGCATCAATAATACAGTTACGATATATTTAGCTTGCTTCTGTATATAGTGAATAATAAAAACAAATGATTACAATCTCTTTATCGTAAAAATTATCAAGAAAGATTCGGAAATGGGATGATATCAGTAGATAATGGAAAATTTAAATATTTTAAATCTCTGAATATCTGTAATACATCTTTTAAAACGGCTAAATCATATTCTTTGTACAAGCATTGTGCTTATTACTGATTTTCATTGTTACTACTATAGTACTTGAGAAAAGGGTATAAATAAGGATAGTTACAAAATTAATATATTCTGCAATACTTCTAATTTTACTAAATTTAAATTATGCACTTAAGGGTCTATTTCGATGGATCATCATTGCAATGACAAAGATACCACGTTTGGCATGAAAGATCATGTACTGCGACAAGTAACTTTTATTAGATAATTTTAACTTAAAGATATGTATGAGCAACGTTCAGGGAGAAATTTCGATTTATGTGTTTTTATTCAATTAACACATAATTTTTTTTTTTTTTTCAGCCATTGTAAGTGTGAATCTCTTACAATTGCGGCAAGCTCAGTTCAATTCGTTTGTAATTTCTTTTGCTATACTGCTACTGCTGTTGTATATTGTACTCCCGAAATTTCAAACAGTGATGAATACACAACTTTTTCAAATAGTGAATGTACACTATTTTAACCGTGAAAAAAGTAATTTTCACTATTTTACAGTTGTATACTTATAACTTGTTGAAATTCGTGAATATTTAATGTAAAATAGTGTATTTTACTGTGAAATATTGAACATTCACTATTTTTACCACGTTAAAACGTTTCACTATTTAAGTTAGTTGGTTAACTTATTTTTAGTACCACTTAAAATAATGTGTATAGGTGTACAATTATCTTCATTTGGATGGAAATTAATCGTTTACTTACTGATGAATATTGAGAATCGATATTTGTATTAACTAGGTGCGAATAAATGACCCTAGTTTTTCACTATTTTAGCAGTGAAAATCTTGTTTATTTGAGCTAATAGTAAATTGTCACTATTTTAAATTTAGAGAAATAAGAGAAATGTTAAAAGTTTTTGTGTGTTAAGTATTAGCAGCAATATCTGGAAATTATGACAGCTTAAGAGTGTACTATTTAAATAAATGTGCTGATGTATACGTGCTCAAAGAGATAAGAATATGTGATGACGCAACGAATTTAGTCATCAATAATGTATATAAGTACTGGGATTGTCTATATAAACTATCGAGTGTCAAGGCATGACGAAACGGATAAGTTACAGGTGGCTGTAACTATATGTGATTATATGCCGCTGCACCCAGCCTGCACGACTAAGTCAAGGTATTCTACAGGTGACGGTTATGAAGATCACAATTTAGGTTTATTTGACAAATGTTGTTGTGGTTGTTGTTTTTGTTTTTGTTGTTGTTGTTGTTGTTAGTGCAAGTAGTAATAGTTGAGTGTATGAAATATCTATTGGTATTACTTTTACATACGGTTTTAAAGTAATATTTGTAAATTAATGTAAGTCTTTCACCAGTAAAAGTAACATAACTTGTCAAATAAAACCAATCGGTGGTCACGCACTTCTGAATCAAATATCGCATATTGGCTTTTTAATAGGACGTAAAAATACAAGAACAAATATATATGCAGATTTGGGTGAAGCTGCAATATGATAGTCTGATTTTTTATGTTATTAAAGCTTTTACCTTCTCATCCTCGTGTGGAGTAGGTGGTGTGGGTGGTGTATACATGCGAGGTGCGTAGTCACCAAGTGACGATGCACCACCTGTCGAAGAGCCCTGGCTTCGTGGTGGACTAAGATCAGGGATGGCTGCATGATACTCTGGGATATTGACTGGAACAACACCCGTTGGCACGACAGGCCGGTATTCCATGGCGCGTACCTCCATCTTCGCGCCAATCCCAAGGCTCGTGTACACCAGCTTGAAGCCGTTGGCGCCGGGCCCGGCACTCTTTGCCGATGTTAATTATATTTTTGCTCTGACTGCTGACTATTTCTGCTGCTTCTACCACTCCTGCTAGGCTTGAAGCCTGCCCTGGTCAATGTAACATATCTGAGGATGATCAACCCAGCTTGGTTGCAGCGCACGTGTGCCGGCACACGTGACCAAGCCTGGTAAAGGTCACCCGTAATGGATAATACTGCCACTGACACTGCCACCGCTGTCCTTGTTACTGCCGTTGCAGCAATTGTGGCTGCTGTTACTACCGTTCCGTTTCTGTTACTGATAATGGGCTGGCTGCTGCTGTTTCAGTGGAAGCTGCTCCATCGATGTGATTTTGTTTGCACAGTCTTACGGGTTTGATAGTTAAAACTGTTAATCATTTTTTTACCCCTTTTGAAGACATAATACTAATGTACACTTTGAAACAAGGGGAAATAAAAAGGGATCACAACTTCGTCCTTATTGATAACCACTGTCGTCTGTGCTCCTTGGCTACTTTTTGCTGACTAAATGTTTTGTGCTACTCATCGCGTGCTGCTGACGTGAATAGTTCTGTCTCTCTCGTTCCCTACTGCTTCTAATGATGCTGCTGCCTCCACCTCCTGCTGCTACTCGTTCTCACAGGGCTGAGCTACCGCCGTTGCCAACGCCAGCGCAGCTACCGCTGTTGCTGCTGCTGCTGCCGCCACTCTCCACAAGGATGCGAAACCTTACAAGTATACGTTCCCCACTCTGCAGCACTGGCCGGCCCCCACTGTGACTCGATAGTTCCTCCCTTCGTATTGCCACGGCCAGCTGTGACTGTGTATAGATATAATAAGCGTATAGATCGTGAACGTTACGTATGTAAGAGTAAAAATCATACCTATATAGAGAGCTACTATACGGTAGCTTTGTTGGATAGTGCTGCTATCGTTGATGCGGCGCCACTCGCTGTTGTTACTACCGACGACAGTAACACCGACTGTGGGACAAAACTTTGTACAAACGGGTGGAGGTGGGAGTTAAGAGGGCGTTGGAAGGTAATTAAGCACGCGGATGTCTGTCTCTCCCACCAGCGAGCTGGCGATACAGCCTCCTCCTCCTTCTGACTCCCCCGATCGACGATTCGTCTCCGGCTGGTTGAGGCCTCGTGGAGCGGTTCGCTGTTTGTTCCTGTGCGAGCCCTCCTCTGCTGCACTACGCAGAGTAAAGTGGCTGCCCTGTACCCCCGCACTGCACCCGCCCAACCATACATGTTCTGTGTCTACACCTACATTTGTATAAAAAAGGATTGTCATGAATAATATGTTGTATATTTACTTTAATGTACATTTATATGTAAGCACATATGTATGCGTGCACATGTTTGTGGGTGTGTGTGTCTTTTCAACTGATTACGGTTTCATTAAAGTCCGAGGCATAAGTATAACATTTTCTGTAACACAAATAACGTCTGTTAAAATTTCAATTATTACAAAAACTATCCATCCTTACGATTTAGATAATGTTGTTTGTCTAGGAGTGTCTTTTAAAAAGTTTTTTCATAGACAAATTTTTATTTGTGACCAAAATACATCCACACAGGATTATATGAATATTTAAATCAACACTTATAAGTAAAGTTCATACAAGACTGCCATACATAACGAAAAGATTTGTAAGACTCAAAAATACGTACATGAAAATAACGGTATACTTATGTTGATGGATATTAAAAATTGTTATATACTAATGTAACACACCTTCTTATACAGTGAGAGAAAAAAATAATAACAATTACAGAGAAATTTTAACAACAGTTATCATTCCGCACAGTAAATCGGATGCAAGCTGGCAAAAAAGAAGGAAGTTATTATTTTTAAAAGTAAACATAATCGTGTAAACAGTTAAAATTATGGTTCGAAAAGCAAAAATTATGGTTAGAACGTTAAAAATTTTGATGCTGGAAAGTAAAATTTATTAACCAATCCTTTTCAGGTTTACTGTTCCAGCGTAGTAATTTTTATTTTTCTAACCATAATTTTTGCTATTTAAATTTAATATGTGATTTTTACTGTTAAAACAATAATCAATACTATTATAAATAAAAAAAATTTTTTTTCGGCAGCTTGCATCCGGTTTACTGTGGAGAACAGTTATTTTTGCTGGAATTTCTCTATAATTATTATTATTTTTTTCTCTTAGTGTACACAAAATGGAAAGCAGTTTCGTAGTATTTTCTACTGCCAAATGCTGCATATCAAGAAACACGTAATGCTATATAATTTTTTTTTAATGAAATTTGAATGACTTTTTATTTTATAAGTTATTTGAATGTTTTAGAAGACTCTCACCTAAAAAACTTAATTTGACAAAAAAGTGCTTTGCTAACTAATTTGACAAGAAATTTGCTACATAGAGATATTTTTGGATGTACCATACGGATGCTGAAATTAAATGCTACCCAAAAGGGCTATCACTTATTTATCAAACAGTTTTTATGGAATTCATGTTTTTGGGTGAATTTCACTTGAAATTGAAATAAGATATCATATACAACCTTACACAGGCTGACAGGATAATTGCCATCAATGTTTTCTCCTGACAGTGGAAAAACGTTGAAGTTTAAGCCAATCGTTGGCCCTTCATATATATAGTATAACCCAAAATTATACTTTTCGTGCCATGTAAATTAGGCTGTCTTACTCTAACTACCTCATTTTTATGCGTATGTCTCTTTTTAATTCACAGTACCTACACAGAACAAATCCAGTAGATAGCCCATTACTTACTTAAGGGCCAACAGTATAATTTCTGACAAAATTTTTCCATCATAGTAAAGCCATGTTAACACAATTTATGATCCAATCGATTATTAACCCCAAAAAAACGAACAGAATTTTATTTAAAAATTAAGTTCCATATTTATGAAGACTGCTTTATCTTTATTTAGGCAGTAAAATATATAGAGAAAAAAATTTACTTAACATATTTTTGCAAAAAAAACAAGCTATTGTTACAAATAATTAAGTAGTCTTGCATCATTTATAACATAAATAACCCTTATTAATGTGCTACAACAGATTATTCGAAGCTTAACAATTTTTGAACTAATAACAAGGAAAATCGTCACTCTTAAAAGTCTACATGGCATACTTTCCTGAATAAAATTTTAATATGTTAAGATACACTTTACAAAATTATAAAAAAAACTTTTATTTGCCACAGCAATATTTAAAGAATAAACAAGTCATACAAAAAAAAAAAAACGTGTGAAGGGAGATACATAGAAAAACTTTGTCAATATGATCTGCTTCGTTGCAAAATATTGAAAAGAATAAAAGTTTTGACACCTAATTTTTTTTCTAGCCATTAATTGCTACATAACTACAATAAGATGGTAAGTAGGGATTCAGTTTATTAAGAAGACCGTTACTTTCCCAATGCAGCTACTTTTCATTAATTACCCATAAAAAACTTAAGTCCTATTTGTTCCATTAAATAATAGTACATTATACTAAAGCACTTTTTTTATACGTAGTCTCTGAGAGCCTTATTTATAAATGCTTAAACACTACCTACAATAAATAAATTGATAATAAGCTGTTACATAATAAGAAGCTCATAAAAGTAACCTAAGTTTACTTTTGGAATTTGCAGATTTCAGAACAAAACAGTACAAAAATTTATAAACTGCCAGATACTTACGTATATATGTTCGTTCAGGTTGTTTACAGCTATAATATATTTTTTTTCAATTTTTATTTAGTGCTTGTAGTTTTTTTTCTGTGTTATGAGCACTGATAGGAAATAGTCCTTGTTTGAAAGTTACAACCATTAACTGTTTATAAATGTGGATTTAAATATACTTAGTCATTGACAGGAAATAAATAAAGTATTTAGCAGTTAGTACGGAGGTTACAAGAAATATGGTTACGATCGTGATAGGAATAAAATTAAGTGTGCTCAATAGACAAACTAAATTTGGAAATTTTTGCGCATTCCTTAAAGAGGTTCCAGTAAGTGGGGATACCAACCAGCATCATGAAGCCCTAATTTACTCAAAAAACTTTGATAGTTGGCACCACTGCTGCAAGTAAAACATAGACTAACCTATAGAAATACGACGAGTAGATCAATTACAAACAGAATATCTCAAAATTTTTTTTCGGTTATCTTTATTTTTCATGACGGCATTCGAAAAATAAAGTTATAACCTACAACACGTGCATACTGGTAAAACCTGATACTTTCGATTCGAGTTGCAAATCATTAGAATTAGTTTACCTGCCACAAGCGCTCTAGTTGAAAGAGCGAGCTTGAAGCATGAATTTCTCAAGATTTTGTTCGGTTGAGGATATATAAAAATGTATCTTTGAGTGCAGTTTGAACTATTGAATGACACACGTCCAATACAACGACCTAGGGCGCTGTAACCTCCTTAAAATGTCATGTTGGTCTTAATTTTAGATTATTTGATTGGCTTCTGAATTGAGGTGGTTCTTTTATAAAATTATTGTCAACATAATAATAAGAAATATTAAGGAATCATTTATTAAGTTAGAATACACTACCCCTCAAAATTTTAGAATAGGCCGATGAATATATATGCAAGGAAATGATATATCTTCATGGACTTCATAAGAAAATATTAAAACAAACACAGGCATACATTTTCGTCTCCTTTGTTGAAAGCATATACAAGCATCAACTGCTGGTATTTTGAGGTTAACCGTAAATTTAACATAACCAATCCTACAAAGTTTTCTATTAGAAATCATTGTCTAAAATTTTGCAGTAATAATAAATTTCAAATTAACAGTCACACTTTTGACTCGGGAGTCATGAAAGGAGCACCTTAAATGGCCGACTTTTGGAAGGGCTTCCGATTGTTTGACTTATGGCCAGATACACGCTACTACACCTTATTTTCTTGCTTCATGGTTATAATGGTAAATGCACATTTATCTAGTAAAACTTACGACACCTTAAATGTCAACAAATATTCGTTTGTTCATTATTTAAAACTTTAAAATATGGTTGATGAACCATTCATCAACTACAAGGTATCCTTACTATCACTGTGATTTCTTACTTAGCTTAAAACTTGTGGTTAGACTGTATGGGAATTTTTCGAAAACTATTTTCAATTAAAATCGAGTTTTTCAAAAAATTTTTGAAAAGCGTCTCAGTAGTGGTTACTTCTTTCACTTAGACAATCTCTTAAATTGTGTGCAAAGCATATTTTCTAATTCGAATACGCAGTATTACTTACTGAAAATACCGTTTGTCAAATGTTAAAAGTTGCCTTGACTACTTAAAAAGTCAGTTTTTGTAACGTTTTCTCTCTTCTACCTTTATTTCAAACTCAAAAGTTTTATAATTTATTTGTTAAAAGTTCTAACCCATACTCGGAAAGTTTAAATGAGAAACATTTATTACGAAAAATTAAGAAATCTTTTTTTTTAGCACAGCATTTTTATCTACAACTGGAGAACCGTAGGGAGAAAATTTTATAAAGATATAACAGATGGAAAAGTTTTAATAATACATCTTGCGAAATTGTGTTGTTCCGTACCGGGCTCGACATGGTTAAGCAGCGGGGAATGCTTTATTATTTACATGCATTTAGTAAAGGCTGGTTAATAATTATTTCCCACATTTTAATTAATGTCTTTTAGTTGGTGGGTGGTTGACATTTTTTGAT